CTGTGAACCACCATAAGGTACCTCCACGAGCCTTGGTCATGAGTATCAAAGCAAGACGAGGCCAAACAGTATTGAGGTACAATAAATTCCTCCTGACTGGTCAGGTACAAAAGATACTGTTTCAAATTAATTTTCCAGATCACCTTGCTCCGAATTACTCCATCGCACACACGTGAGTTTTCCCCACTGTCAACCCTCCACATATCAGGTACCACACAGAAAGTGGAATCTCATCCATCATGCGCTCTGTACGTACGTTCACAGCCACAACTACAGCACAATCTGCATTTTAATCACACTGCTAATTAAGCAGCGACCTAAAAATGCCATGCGGAGTAGCCTTTCAAACTTCGGAAGGGTTTTCCTTTCATGCTCATTGAATCACTATGACATGTCAAAGAAATAACTGTGGTCCTGACGATACGCCAAGAATCGTTGTCCCCTCTCTAGTTCACCAGGTGCTCACCGCTTCTTCCAGCATACAACGGCAGCACTATGGGCCCTTGGGTACGCTAGTGGCCATCTGAAGCATCAGATTATTTCCTGGCCTTGTAACTGGTATGCTTGGTAACCGAAAAAGAGAGTGCTTCATCCATTTCTCCAGTACCTTTCTAATCTACCTAGTCCCAAAGCTGGAAGACAGACCACATCCATTCCTTGCAACTGAGCCTGTCTTTGAAAATGAACAATAAACAAATCTCATCCTATTTTCCCAACTACTATTATTTCTCTGGGATGCAGGTGTTTGCAATAGCATCCCCAGCATGCTACTCAAAGCCCAACCAGACTGGTGAGGAAGTTCATCACAAAGAGCTGAGCAGAACCTGAGGATTTTTTGGCTAAAACAGCTCAAGAGAGGTCAATTTGCAGAGCATGCTGGACATCTGCGTGGTGAAAAATCAAGTCTCAAAAGGTTTCAAAGAGCTGCTTAACGATGGACTGCAACTTGCCACGTTAGTCATTACGAAAAAATCTTGGCCAGAGATGACATCAAGGTCCTTTACTCCCACAGCGGGAGGTGCGCTAAGGAGCAGACCTTTTCTTTACTCCCCCTTCAGGCCTCCTGAAAACAGTCATTAATTGTCACGCATGATAGGGATGGCGGCAGCAAGAGATGAGCCTGGCTGTGCACCTAAGCACTGTGTAGAGCAACAAGTCCTTCTTGGGGAGCTGCTCATGTGGAGCTCTTTGGCCGATAAGCAAGTGGGATTAGCAATATGCACACAAAATGACCCAGGGAATTAAAGTTATACACAAGGAACTAACAAAGCAATTTTTCAAGTGACTTCCTCCTTATGTAGGAAGGGGAACAAGAGCAAAAGTACACGAGGAGGACGAGGAGGGAGCCTTCTCTCTCCAAACAATAACAGACTGGAGAGCTGCCTTCTCTGTTTCTGCAGTTCTGAGCAGAACACCTCCCCCCCCATCTAGTAACAGACATGTTCCAAGCAAAGCACTGTTTCTTCTCCTGAAGTATAATAATGCTCACAAAATGAAATGGAACAAGAAAGCTTCATGCCTTAGATGTCCTTTATCAGCACTACACATACATGCCAACAGGGTTATTACCCTAATCACAAACGTCAACAACAAATTAGCCCTGTTTAAAATTCAATGGCAACAAAGGCAGAAATCCAATACGTGCATTCTCTAATAACAGTCCATGTAATATATTCTGCGAGTCTCCTGTGAGCTTGTTTTGTGGATGCACACACATCGCCTCTTGCCACTGAAAATCAGTTCAGTCTTCACTGCACAAATGTCTTCACTTCTGCCAAAATAATTTCTAGCATTTCCATTCTCTGTGCCACAGAAAGGAAAGTGTTAGTGCCAATGAGAATGAATATAAAGTTTTGTCCTCTCTTACCCCTGCACACCTACACGCTCAAACGAAAGGCACACAAACCGCATGCCTGTTTTCTCTAAAACCATTCCTTAGAAAATCGCAAGCTACTGCTTCCAAGTTTGACTTTGCAATGAAAAAGGAGAGAAAAATGGCTGCTAAGACAGTTTTGTGTGTTTGCTCTGAAAAGAAAGCAGAACATCTTACACTTTATGAAATGTGAAAAATCAACTGATGCATCCCATGCTGCCTACAAGCTGCAGAACACTGAGAAATAACCTGTCTGGGGCTTGACTGAACGATGGTCCTACTTAGGGGAAGCAATGTCGTATGAAAGGCGACCGCTGTTGCATTTGGAAAGCGGCTTTCTTAAGAGCCTAATATAATGAATTGTGCCTGCAGTTCACGTGTCCTGAACTCCCCTCTCCTCGTGGTAGAAGACATTCCTGAGAGTGTCTGAAGCCAAACAGGATAATTTATTTCCAGGAAATGTGCCTCTTCCTACTGTATGCCTTCCTCAATAATTCATACTACTCGGCACAATCATCTTCATAGTGCTTAATGACAGTATCACAATTGGGTTGTTATGGGAGTTGTTAAAAATAAAATAGAAAATAGCTCCAGAAGTTTAGAATTTCCTGAAAAGCAGAATATTTCAGCTACCTCTAACTATACCTAGGGCTGGGGGAAGCATGTCCAAGTTGATCCCCAGGAACCATTGCCAGTTCCATGTTCACAGTGGGTTTGCTGGGAGGCTGTGAGCGGAGACTAATTGGAGCACTTTGTCAAGAATAGGTGATGGTTCTGGTTTCACTTGGATGAGACACAAAAGCAGATCACTTCAGATCCAGTTTGTTCCACGTTTGGGGTTTTCAATAATAATAAACACAAGGGAATCTACAAGATGAATTTCAAAGCATCCAGTAAGTAAATGCCTGGAGAGCGAAATTCATGTTGCTTAACACAACATTAATAGTGGTTAAGGGCAAAGCAGTGAACTTATTCTCACAAAAAAATCAGAAGTTGCAGGTTCAAATCAAACAGTGACATTCATAAATCCAGACTGAATTGTTTTGCCTTTAAGAAAAAAAAAACAGAATGAAAAAAATAATGTGATAAAATCTAGACATTTAATGCACAAAGTGTTTTGAAATATTTTGTTTTGCAGTTTGACAGAAGACACACAATTCAGTTACCCAGAGGAATCCTGGATTAACGTTATACCCAAAATAAAATAACACAAAGTGTCCTTGAATAATCCTGAGAGATTTTTTTTGCAGCAAACCAACAACATTCATCTTACACAGAGTACCAATTCTGACAACAGGAGAAGAAATAGAAAGCAACTGAAACTTCAAAGAACATGGGATAAGATTTTTCAGAAGTGTTCAGTACTGGGCTAATGAGAATTTTATCATTAACTTCCCTGGGAACAGGACTAGGTCTAATACAAACAGTTCTGAGTATCTCTAGCAGTGAGTAATGAAAGCAAGAGGAATACAAGATGACGTACGACCTACAGGTAGAACTAGTGAATAGCTAATAGGGTATTTTCCCATATTTCCCACACAGCGTCTGTCAATGTATAATCTAAATTAATGACTCTGCAGTCTCAAACTGTTTGGTTCATTTTCTGTCTCCTTATCAGGAGCACAGAGAAGACTGTCAGGGTAGACTGAAGCACGTACATGACCTGCACATTCTAGCATAACATAGGTATTAATAACCCATTACTTCCCTACTATGCTTTTGAGTGAGGTGTATGTTTAAGGAAGAGAAACTTTTCCACTATTTCAGAACTGATTACCAACACCTTTCCTAAAGAAGCTTCCACAACACAGCTGCAGAAGGAATTGCCTGTAACTCCTCGTGATCCACAAAGACACCCCTTCCATGTACGTGCATATCTGATCTCTGACAAGTCTAGTACAACCTCACTTTCCTTTCTGTGATATGATTAAGGGTGGATCTAAAATGCTGAATTGTGAAGCTTGGCTTTCCACTACATTATTTACACTAAATAACAATTTCCAGATAATTTCAAATTTCCTACATTCCATTACTTTGCTGATAAGAAATCTTCTGTATCCAGCATTTAGGTTTTAGAAGCATAGTAAAGGTATGAATACAAGAATTTATTTCATTTTCAAATAGCTCTGCAGATGACAGTTCCCAGTCCTGTTTGAAGCAGTGACAAAAAGCCTAATGACTATGGGGGAGGCAGAGACACTTAACAACTTCAGTGGGGTTTGGATCATTAACTCTAATTGAATGCAGGACTCCAGGCCCAGTTTTGCCCTCAAATCAGAGCAATTAGAGGCTGAGACATTCAACTTAGGGGGACATTTTCATCTGTTAAGCTTGCCTGCATTAGTTATGTAGCAGTATGGTTTTTTCACCTCAATCCAATGCATTTGAGAGGAAAACTTGCATTTACCAACCATTTCATCTGAAGATTAAGAAACAAAAGATTTTAACCAAAACGTCGTGTCGCGTGTCTTTCAGCGTTACCTTGAATGCAGCAATGCAGTGTAGGCTGAGTAACGTCATGACCAGTACCAGGAACACTGTGGCTAAGTTCCTCGCGTCCCAGACGGACTCGATCAAAGGGATGCTGCCGACCTGCCAGTCGTAGCACAGGGTGATCGGTGCCAGCAGAAGCCAGGCATTGAAGGCCAGAAGGTAGGAATAAGTTAGAAACCTGAAAAAGAAAACAGGTAGTGTGATATATGGAATGACTGCCAACACATGAAACATTTTCCTTTGGCAATTACCACTTACTGTATGGGAGGAGGAAAGAAAAAATTAGCTGTGCACTCATAGGCAATACCATAACTCTCTGTCAATAAAGAGAAGCTAACATAGGTGAGGGGCGCTTCAACAGGTCATTTAAAGAAATAACATAAGATCAATAATATTTATGTGGTTTCTATGCACCAGCCTTTGGAAAACTAAGCAAGCTTCATCTCACATTCAAATACTAGATTTTTGAAGTGACTTTCTACCAGCTTCAACAATAAATGAATAATAACTAAGCAGGTACAGACATATATTGAACTGTTTCATGGTTCACTGCATCACTTCTAGCTGGGTTTAACTTACAATTTGTCCTATGTGCACAATATTGAGCAATTAAAGTCAGACCTCTCTGTCTTTTCTCTTTGCATCCTGGCACAGAGAGAAAACACAGAAGAAAGGAGGCACAGGGTGATTCTCGGCTGATCCCATCCCAGCTTGTTAGGGCTGGGGACAGCTTGCATGAGCTGGCCACAGAAGTAATGGAGAAGTAGGGAGCCTTTCAAATTGTTGTAATCTTCATTAATTGGTATTCTCAATAGGGAGGAAATTAATGGAGAATGGAAATGGGGAACCATGCTGCCCTCTGGGAAGTATGCAGGGCTTTCAGAAGACTGCACAAGAACAGCATATGTGCAACTGGGCTAAAGAAAGCAGAAAAAAATGAAAAGAAAAGAAGAAAAAAATAAAACCAAATCAACATCCCCTCTACCCCCAAACTTTTGCTGCTTGGCACCTACTTGTCCAAAAATGCATCCCCCTCAAATCACATTTCATAGAATCATAGAATGGTTTGGGTTGGAAGGGACCTTAAAGATCATTCAGTTCCACCCCCCCTGCCATGGGCAGGGACACCCTCCACTAGACCAGGTCGCCCAAAGCCCCATCCAACCTGGCCTTGAACACTTCCAGGGACGGGGCATCCACAGCTTCTCTGGGCAACCTGTGCCAGTGCCTCACCACCCTCACAGGGAAGAATTTCTTCCTAATATCTAATTTAAATCTACCCTCCTTCAGTTTAAAGCCCTTACCCCTTGTCCTATCACTACATGTCCTTGTAAACAGAGCCTCTCCAGCTTTCAAATACTTCTGTATGCAAGAGGCCGGAAATTACCCCAGCTATCAAGAAGTCAACCAAGCAAAATTGCGACAACCTTAGAACAGACAAATACTTCCTTTGTTCACAAATGGAAAAATTCACATTGTACGCAGCACCAAAGATGGTGAATACTCAAAAAAAAAAGAAATTATATTCTATCCTGTACAGGATTTCTTTCATCTGAGCCTGCTTTGGCTGTTGTTATCACACCCAGTTGCCATGGTACCTTAGCAGGTTTATTAAAATGATAACAAAGGATGCCCAAGAGATGTTGAGCCATGTAGACAGAGGATTGTTTCACTCACCACTTACAAACAGGCCTCTTTGGGGTCAAAATACAGTCCTTTACAATAGCACTTACAACATTACATTAGATTTGTGGCAGAAGGGGTAAGACACTAAAGCTAAATGTGACTCCAGGCAGGCAGGAAGTTCCCAGACGCATGTTGGGCCAAGACACGGGGATGAAACAAGCCTAAATTTTTGTGAAAACATTTTTGAATAACTGCAAACTGTTAGGATATCAGTTTCTCTTCTCATCTGAAAAACAAACATCTTCAGAAACACAGCGACCCAAAAGCAGGGAAGCTTACAGAGCTGGAATAACGTTTCACTGTAAACAGTGGAAAAGGCACATTCTCATTTCCCTGCAAATGTAAGCTCCCAATTCTGATGGAAAATGGAATATTCTCACATTTTTAAGGTTTTTGGCCATTTGGTACATTTCCATCCCTCCATTTTCCTCCGCTTCCCCACCCTGAGGTAGAAAACAAAGGCGGGGGGGAAGAAAAATTATTTTCTCTCTTAACAGAGGCAGTGACTAAAAGGCCAGTTTCTATTTAAGAAAGCATCCCTCAAAAACATAATCTAATTCTACTCCTCTTAACAATTTTGATTGTTCACTATTTCTAAAGAAACAAATATGTCTTTTCTAGTTGCCAAGCCAATTTCTTCTGGTCTGCATTACAGAGAAACACAGCAACACAAAATCTGGTGGAGCTTAATCATAGAATCATAGAATAGTTTGGG